CCATCGGGTCTTCCTGTAGGGCCTCAAGTACTTCTGGTTTCACTGCTCAAAGGAACTACGAGGAGTTAGTCGGCTCGAAGGGATCAGAAGTTCCTTCTTAACTTTGTTTCACAAGAAGAACGACTCTAGTCTTATCTTGAAAACATTGAGAACAGTCGTGATGATGTTACCCTCGAGGTATTTCACAAGGTTTCCGAGTTCCGGGTCAGCTCGCTGTTGCTTGGCGTAGTAGTCGGCAGTTATTGTTCCAAGCTGTTCTTATCCAGGTCATCAAGCAGTGGTGGTTCGACGGGGGCACGAGAGAAGCAGTTGGTGTTGGAGTGTTTTTTTTTTCCAGACTTGTAAAATAAGGTCACATGGAATTCTTGAAGTTTTAAGGCTCCACTGTGCGAGGCGACCCGAGGGATTTTTCAAGTTAGCTAGCCAACACAAGGCGTGGTGGTCCCTCACAACTTTGAAAGGCCTGCCATAGAGGTAGAGGCAAAACTTTGTCGCTGCCCAGATGATGGCAAGGCACTCCTTTTCTGTTGTGTAATAGTTTTTCTGCCTTCGATAGCGACCGGCTAGTGTAACTGATAGCCTTTTCCACGCCGTCAGTCCTCTGCACAAAGACGACTCCGAGTCCTACGCTAGTTGCGTTGGTGTGTACTTCTGTTTCGGCATGTTCATCGAAATGCGCAGGTATCGGTGGTGTCTGGAGGCATCGTTTAAGTTCTTGAAATGCTTCCTCTTATGCCGCTTTCCACCTGCATTCAACGTTGCTTTTCGTGTGGCGAGTTAGCGGCTCAGCGATCTGTGAAAAACGTTTGACAAAACGCTCGTAAGAAGCGCACAATCCGAGGAATCGGCGTACAGCCTTCTTGTCAGTTGGCTGCGGGAAATCAGTAATGGTGGCTGTTTTTTGTGGGTCCGTATGGACTCCAGAGTTGCTAATCACGTGTCCAAGAAACAACAGCTTCTCGTAAAGTGGCACTTTTCTTGCTTCAGGGTTAGTCCAGAAGTGTTGATAGCTTGAAGTACCACTTCAAGCAGCCGGAGATGCTCGTGAAAGCTCGACGAAAACACGACGATGTCACCCAAATATACGAGGCAAGTCTGCCGTTTCAATCCAGCCAGCACGGTGTCCATAATGCGCTTGAACGTCGCAGGAGCTGAAAAAAGACCAAATAGCATGACCTTAGACTCAAAGAAGCCGTCTGGTTTGATAAAGGCCGTCTTCTCTCGATCTCTCCTGTCAATCTCAATTTGCCAATAGCCTGTTTTGAGGTCCATCGAAAGAAAAGTATTTCACGCTGTGGAGCCGGTCCAGGGCGTCGTCTATACGAGGAAGAGGGTACACGTTCTTCTTTGTGATTTTGTGCAGGTGGCGGTAATCGACGCAAAAATGTAGGGTCCCGTTCTTCTTCTTCACTAATACCATGGGTGATGCCCATGAACGGCTGAATCATGCTGTTTCTTCACGGCGTCGCGTTTGCGCGTCGAGACTCAGTACGGGCTTTGTTGAACTGGTCGTGAACTTTCTTTTGTTATGATGCGATGTTTTGCGGCTGGGGTTTGCCGAATCCTCGATGATGTCAAGAAGCAGTCCTTGATTCGCAAGAGCAGGGACTTGAGCTGATCTTGCTCTTTGAAAGTCTCGGGTTGACGTTAAAATTTGGTTCGGGACCTCGATTCGTCGAAGCACCATGGGCAGATCGGAGAGGGCGAATGAATTGCTGGCCTCCGCAAATTTATCGATGTAGGCGACCATCGTACCATGGTTGAGGTGCCTGTATTTCTGACTGAAGTTTGTCAACACCACCTCTGCTTTGCCATCACGCAGCTCAGCTATGCCTCTTGCGATGCAAATCTGACGGTTTAGAATAAGGTGCTGATGACCCTTGACAACGCCTTCAAGGTTTTCGGCTTTTTCGGTGCCAACGAAAATGACGACGCTAGAGAAAGGCGGCACGATGACCTGCTCTTCTAGCACATTCAATGCGTGATTCCTTGGTGTTGTAGGGGTCCGTAGCATGTTTTCTCAGATTAGTGTGATTGACCCAGACGTCAGGTTGATTACAGCGCCATGTTGACTTAGAAAGTCCATCCCAAGTATCACATCCCTAGAGCAATTTTGTAAGATTACAAAGCTTGCAGGATAAGTCTCGTTATTCATGCCAACTCTTGCTGTGCAGACTCCAGTCAGCTTCATTAAGTGACCTCCAGTGGTCCGAATGACCTCTAGTGGTTCGTGACCTCCAGTGGTTCGTCGTCATGTGTTGTGGTTGGGTCGTGGCGTCGGATCATGGCTATGCCTATTCGTTCCGATGCTTCCACATTGCTGCGTCGTGACGTCTTCATGTTGCGAAGGTTTGACGTCAAGACCCTTTTTGTCTTGTAGCGGGTGCTTTCGATTTCGTTGCGGCGGCGTTGCCATCAGCGGCGGAGGATCTTCGGTAGTTCGTCGTACAGCAACCCCACCTCCGTCGGCAGCTGCCCTTAGTTTTCTGGGCAAGGGCTTGGAGATCGGCCCCGAGCAGGGGCGGTGTGGTGCCCGCGGTGCGGTGAGGCGTAGCGGCCTGGCGACGGCAAACGATAAGGTCATCGGTATGTTAACTGCGCTCCCACAAGGTAGTCCGCAATGTCATGTGGTCGTTCGCCACGTTGTTATTGCGGCGCATTGATGTCGAAATCCCGTAGGCCCATCTGTCGGTACTGGCAATGACGGTAGGTGTGCCCAGCTTCGCCGCAGTGGTAGGGGAGCGGGTGGTTGTCAGGTGCGCGCCAAACATCTGCTTTTCTCAGTGTGCTGCACTGTTCCGCTGGCGAACCGTAGAACGATGGCAGTGGTGGTGGCGGCGGTGGCGTCTGGCGACGAAAGTGCGATGGGGTGGTGTCCTGGCATGGACATGGAAAAGGGGCGTGACGATGGGCTGCATCAGCGTAGCTCATTACTTGCAGCTGCGGTTCTGGAGGCTGAAAAACGTCCAGTGATTGCTGGATGTCGTGGCGTACGACGTCCACAATGGAGTCCACGTGAGGCTGCGCTGAAGGAAGCAATTTTTGCAGCTCTTCTTGCACTATCGCTCGAATCGTCTCACGCAAGTCGGCGGTTCCTAGCGCATGAAGGACGGCATAGCTTGTATACGAGAAGCTACGGTAGTATTGCCGCGTCCGCATCTCGAGCGTCTTCTCTATCGTAGATACTTATGAAATGAATTTGGCGACCGTCTTTGGGAAGTTCCTGATCAGCCCAGCGAAGAGTTCTTGCTTTACTGCTCGCATGAGCAGACGGACCTTCTCCTCGCACATGTCGGGGTCAGCATGGCGGAAGAGGCGGTCTAACAAAAGAAAGCAACATCGCGGAAATTCGCTGACTGTTTCTCACACGGCAGATACTATGTCGAATCGTGTCTGAAATTTTATGTGCTGAAAGACATCGATTGTTCATTTGACGGGAGCGCACCCGATTTCAGGACATGGCAATTGAGTTGGGAACCACCATTCGAGTGCTACTTGTGCCACCCTCATTTTAATTAGCGATACATGTATCCCTTCTCTTCAAGTGCAGTCACAGCAAAGAGTATTGGTGATTTCGTAACAAACCGCAACTTGGGTACCATGCGACTGCTCCCAAAATGCAACCAATACTGATTAGGCCTAGCCTGCCAGTATGCTGTTGCGATAAGTTTGTCTAAGACGTAATGAATGGGGGGTTGAAAAGATCGCACTCGAGTAACAAACCAAAAACAGTGTGCATAATACAAAGTTTTCAAGCTTACATAAGACCGCGCATTGGTAGCAGAGGTGAAAACTTGTGTAATAAAGTCGTAAAAGCTTTCAAATTTACAGACGAGGTAGCTAACACCATATCGGTGGCAAGCTTGATAACAACGCTTTTCCCGACAGAAAACTTAAGCGCAGTTGATAAGGAAGGTATCGAACGTGCCAATTTGAGCCGTGCGCAGCTGGCAGCAAGTGGCCGGAGCCACGCTACCGACCCTAGTACACTGTAGCCGCAACGGGGCCGGTGCAAAGGCTTCCTGGGCAACTGCCCTCATCGAGAACATGCAGCGTGCCGTAGTGTTATTGTTTTCTTCTTTCTTTCTTTCTCCTCCTTCCTCTCTTTGTTCTTTCACTCCGCGTCCCCTCCTCTTCCGTAATGACCTCATTGCTTGCTCCCCAGCAGCGTACCCAGTGCGCCTCTAGCGGGTCTTCTTCAGACACGCATTTACTACTGCGTTTGTTACAACTATTTTCAGGCAACCACATTATAACCGCTCTTTCATCTTGGGGGGGTACTGCACAGTAAGCGGTATGCGTACACACATGGTTCTATGGGAGGGTAAACAGGAGTCGAAAATGAGCGCATTGTAAGTGGTCCTTCACCATAAGCGGTTATGTTATAACAATGGTCTACACAGTATACCTATTTTTCTTTATATGTCATATATGCAATTCAAATTCGATTCAAAATTATTCGACCAAAGTCACTATTCGCACAAGCCTAGCACAAACAACATCAAAGTGTGCAACAATGATTTTCAAGCAACAGTTTCCCATACTTGTTTAATTTTTATAATGAACAAAGCTTTATTTACTCCAGAGATTGTAAATTGTAAAGTAAAGATAGGTACTACTTCACGGTGCACGTGCAGGCAGGGGGTTCAGTTCTGTAGCTTCCACAGTGCTGTTAAGTGCTGCCAAGAAAATTTGTTGCAGAATATAATGATCAGTATTGCTACTACCTTAACAGACCCCGTTTGGCAAACTTTCATTGCCCTCAATTATTTTACATTAAGACACTTACCCTGAACTTTATGCAGTTTGATTTGACATAGATTGTAAATTGCTAAGCAGCGAGGGTGACCATCCGCACCTAGAGACCATTATTGTAGACATCCGAGATGGATGCACTTGAAAACAGCTGGCACCATCCTGTTTCGAGTGATAATTGGTTGACAACACTTCTTTTGCTGTTCTTTTTAGTTGTAGTAAAAATGTATTTTATATTTTTGCAGGCCCGACAGTGCTTTCATCGTGGCTGGATGCTTTCAACCAAGAATTCCAGGAGAACAGGGCTGCACCCACAGCAGTGAATACGTCGACCCTTACTGCCGCTATTCCAGCGCAAAGCACACTCGAGAGCAGACTTTCAAACCTCATGCAAAGCATGGGCCACATACCCGGTGGGCTGTTCTCATCCACGAGTTCTGCCAGCAACACTCCCAAACGGGCCGACTCACCTCCTTACTCTTCAGCAGTCTTTCGGTCTAGTGCTGCTGTGTCCGAGGTCCACAGTGGCAACACGCCTCTCAAGGACGAGAACAGTGGACAGGGGACGCCTGTGCTCGATGAGAATACTGCAAGAAAGGTTGCATCGCTCTTGGACTCGGACATGCGGGTTCATGCAATGAAACCTGGTACACCGCAAGACTCTCCAGATACAAGACTGAGCGCTCCCTTTGGATCCAGAATAACAAGTCTCGCAAGTCCACAGGCGTGGATGACGATGTCACCAAAAGCAAGCAGCAGCAGCAACGTGGCAGCGTCGCAGAGCGCACCTGCCCTTGCTCCACCACCCATCCCGCCTGCCCTGCAGGCCTACTTGGAGCCAATCAAAACTGTGACTGGGGCAGCTAACAGAAGCGTTGCTGCAGTTCCAAAAGGAAGATCAGAGACGCCACCATCACCATCTGCAGACTACCTGATTCCAGTTGCAGAGAACTTTGACGTGACTGACATGGAGCTCGATGAGGATGGTTCTCCTGATGATGAGCATTCAGAAGCCCGGCACCGCAAGAAATTGAGCAATCTCATCACACTAGTCCAACCGCAGGTGAGCCCCGCTGCTGAAACTTCTTCTCCTGGCTCCTCGTGCAGCGGCAGAAATGTGGACACCAGGTCCCAGCTGGATGTGCCTCTCCAGCCATCTGCAGTTATGGCAGCATTGAAACTTGCGTCCTCATTGGCTAGTCCGGATGATACAAGGCACTTGCGCAATCCTTCTCCTGATCTTGAAAAGGAAGACCTGGATTTTCCTGTGCAAGAGACGTCATTGGAGCGTCGCCGTTCCGAAACGACAGACTTTGCTGTAAAGGAGTCATCTAAGTTTAACCTTCGGGACTCCGTCGACATTGATGATCGCAAATCTACAGAGTTTCGCCTTCTCGAATCCTCTGATTACACGACCAGAGAACGCTCCGAGTTTCGAGTGCGAGAGTCTTCGTCATCATCGTCGGAATTTCGCATGCGAGAGTCACCATCATCGGAGCTCAAGATGAGTGAACCACCATCATCGGAATTTCGTATCCGGGACTCATCTTCCGAGTTCCGGATTCGGGATTCTCCATCGTCATCAGAATTTCAAGTGCACGACTCTTTCTCATCAGACTTTCATGCAGCACCTGCCAAGATTGAGACTGTCCAAATGCGCTCCTCGCTAGACCGGTCACCACCTCTGGGGCCCATGGAAGACCGAGGCACGTGGGAACGAGGCGATTACTATTCTCCCCGGGTAGCGCATCATCAGCCACAGCAGCAGCAAGCTATGAGCAACGGCGGCAACCGCATGCGTGGCAGAAGCAGTGGTTACTATGGCTATGAAATGCGTGGAAGACCGGTGGACCCTTATCGCGAGGGCTATGGTGCCTACGAGTCCGAGTGGCATGGAGGCAGGCCCCCTAGCCCACGATATCGGCACTACGGTGGTCAAGCACGCGGAGCACCCTATTTCCAGCCAAGATACTGAGCAAGACATGGCGTGTGACGCTGTGAATGCTGTTGTCGTGTTTCTTTGGCATGGTGTACATAGCGCATGAAAAGCGAGCAGGTGAACCCTGCAGTCATCGAGGCTGAGGTGTGACTGTAGTACCTCGTTTTTTGTTTTTTTCTTCTGAGAAACACATTTGGAGCAAGCTGCGAAGAACATGTTCAAGCTGCAGCCATTTTGTAGACAAAATGCAAAAAACATTGGTGTGAGTTTGACACTGAAGGTAGCCCACACCCACAGCGAAGTTAGCAGCTTGCGACTGAGAATTGTCACAGGCTGATATATGTAAGACGTCGAGATGTCTTTTTTTTTTTTATCAGCACATCCGTGCTTATTTCGCAGCATGATGTGTGGGTTAGAAAGGATGCATTCACTTTCGGCAACACATTGTTAAGACTAGACGTGGATTTTGGCTCACCACCTGCTGCTGCCACATTCATCACCTCTGTCATGTCATATTTGTGCGATTCAGTTGCATACGAAGTACAATTTGATGTTCTGGAAGACAGCCGAGGCATGCATTTCGTGCCCGAAAGAAAATACAGTTTGCTTTCTCGTTTATGTTGATGGTCTTTCTTGAAAGGTACCCTCCACACTTCCACTGCTCACAAAACAGTAAAGCACATACTGATTCACCTCTGAAACCCAATGCTTATAGGTAGTATATGCTTTCTCAAACAATAGTCATTGGCTGTTTTGCATGCATTTCCTTTTTAAAAACTTGTCATTTGCTACATTTCTGTAAATCTTGCTGTGGCTCACTGATATATGCACATGCATTTTTGACCTGCAAGTGTTGGAAGCAAAGGCACACAAAATTGACTATGATTATTGTTTGGGTGCAATACAACCTCACAGCTTGCAAACTATATATCTGATGTATGCTGTCAAGCTCATTGTCAGGGAGTGTTACAATTATGCCATTATAACTGGCACTATTTTGCTCGTGGCTCCGTGTTTCATTTATTATGATCAAGTCCAAGGAAACCACCATGAATATTCACAGTGTACATGGCCTCTCGAGGTTTGTATAAAATCTATTCAAATTCTGGAACATAGCCCCACAAAACAGAACAAGGGTTGTGAAAGTGGTTGTAGCAGAGAAATCAACCAAATGTGGTTTTTCATTGTACATCCAAATCTATAGGGTCTACATAATATTTCTTTTTTTTTTTCGCTCTCATGAAGAAGTGGCTACTGCAGCCAGGAATCAAATTTTCAACTCTGTGCTTAGTGCTGGAATATCATATTCACTGAGCCAGTGCTATAAGTCAGCTTAAAATATAATAAAATCAGTTATTTTCTCGTAAAACGACATGCCAAGCCCATCAATTTTGCATAAAGACCCTGAAAATTATGCACGGCAGTAAAAGTATAAAAGTGTGACAATTTTGATGAAGGGAGGGTTTACTGTATTCATACATTCAGGTCATTTATTTTCATGCAGTCTCTGGTTAGATCAAACGGTTACTTATGTTGGAAAAAATTTTATTCCTGTATGATCGATGTAAACGTACACGTGCTGTTTTATGTACGTTCAGGTTTATGTGTACTAATTAATAAACACAGATGACTTACATAGTTTACACCCCCAGGAACCAAAGTTCTTGTTTGAATAGTCTAAAGAGTAATAAAATGATTCAAAACGAAATTATGAATTTTTGTATAAATATGTACCTCCAGGCGGAAACATACTGCACTGACAAATCGGGCACCACCAGATATTACGAAAAAAAGAAAATGTCGGTGTACACATATCCAAGATATAAAACTGTAAACCGAAGTTCTGGCTTTGTGTTGTTGTCTACTACACAGATGCCAGGGGGCTGGAATACCAAAATGTTGGCAGGCTATGACTACTCAAGTTTATGATAGCTTTTCATCGGCATTTTTCTTCTATGTTGATTATTTTTGAGACACTGAAATTAAGCTAATTGAAAGCGGTGCTGTAGTAAAAGACGGCCACTTGTGCGGCTGCCTAAAGGTAGTCTAGCGGCCGTTTCCTGCTGAGATGCGTGCCAGGGAGCGCACACAAATATTATTGTCGCCTTTGCACGCTCTCGAATATGTGAGCTTCATCAAATCACCTTACAATGGGCAGCACTATACATGGCCTCATTTAAACAAAATCCTTCGTACATCAAAATAGAGCTTTGCATGAAAATTTGAAGTTTTCATTGGCCATTGTCATAAACCCATTTCGTACTGTATTCATCATCTTGAAGTAGCAAATTCTTTTCCAGAAAATTGTTTTGAAATGCGCAATAATTTCAGTGTTGCAGACTTGCCAAACATTTTCAGTGAGAGAGTTGTATACCGTTCTTTCTGAGGCTTAAGATATATCCAACACAGCATGGCACTATATTTAAGTAGCTTTTATGCACTAGAACACCAATTCTGTGTCTAGACCGCACTCTGATGTGTCTTAGGTGTAAAAGCTCTGCAGGAAAAAGACTCTTGCTTGCGATTGTTGCTAATCGTGTTGAAGTTGTATCTTTGCTTAGGCGGTGTACTCAAAAAGGCTCAAGATAGCATAATAATTTTAAGCCATGTAACAGTTTTTATTGCACATGGCCAATGCACTCGTGTAATAAATTGTAGGTTTCTGGCAGACATCAAAATGAAATGTGCAGAATCGATGTTTCTACAAAATTTGTGGATCACAATAATATGTGAAACTTCAAATAGTAGTGGAGTGGTATGTGTAAATTTACAAGAATTGAGGTTTGCACCCAGTTGAAGTTTGGGCGAGTTCTTTTTCAACTAGAAGTGCAAGAAAAGTATGATAAAAGGACAGAACAGGTGATTGCTACTTCAAACCGCAGCTTATTCTTACAAATTTGTGCCTATTTATCGGAGAACCTAGATCATGTAGAAGTACATTGTGGTAGGATACATCATCTTGACCCTAAAACAAAAGTTGACAAGAAAGACAGTTAAGATACTAAATTCTGAAATCTTGAGATTAGATTAGGCATACTCTTGTCTGAAATGGACAGGAAGAAGAGGACAAAATTTTTCTTTTAGTAAACTACCCTTGCTGCAATTCGAAAACCTTCATGATCGCCACAATAACATGTTTTGTAAGTGGGAAAACTCGCAAAAACAAAATGCAGGTGGCGATGCCACCTTAAAATTTTTGTACCTAACGCTGCGACGTCATAAATTTTGACTGTGTTTACTAAGACATACGTAGCTCCCAATAGGTAAAGATGAAGCACAATGTCTGTTAATGGGGCTAAGAATGTCGGCCATTCGAAGTTTTGGGAAATTTCGTCGATCCAATGTCGGCAAAATGCGACAAATTCACTTAAATTCACTGATTTCATGCACTCAAATGTGGGCATGAAACTTCAAAACGGTACTCTGACCTGTTCTTTTGTTTTAATAATGAGCTTATTAAGGTAAAATTTAATGACAATACTGTTTTCAGAGAACACTTCATCAATCTAAACCAATTCATTGTGTGTCCCTTTCATCATAGGAACACCGAAGGTATTAACTTATCTGCAAAAAATCAATTTTACAGGGTGAAGATTCAAGTAAAGCCTGCTGACAGGTTGGACCAATCTTTTGAATGGGGAAACCCTCTACGACTTCCCTAGTCAACTTTTTTAGCTTCCAATGCAACTCTGATGTGTCTTGCAAAAGAGGTTCACAAGCACATTGTCAGCAATGCAAGGCAAGACTGAATGCAGTGGTCCATTTGAGATGCTCTCCTAGTCTGTTGCTTGGGCGATTTGCCCAATATATCATTTGGAAAAATCTGAAATGTTAACACAGCAATTTATAGTTATTTGGCAAACAAACTCACTTAGTATGTTATATCGGCTCGGAGAGGGAGCAGAATTGCAGCTGTCTTGTCATGATATGCACAGCATATGCAAAGAGTAACCAAGTAGGTGCCAAGGGAATGATAATATTACTGCATCAAATGAGGATGATTAAACCAAATACTCTGCAAGTACAGTGTTTAGTTGCCAATGGAAGATTGGTAATTGAAGACTGCTAAAAGATGTTTTTGTCTATGCAGTAGATTTCAACTGTGCTTATAATGATGCTGTTAAGTGACAGTGTGGCTCTTGATTGCTAGTCCCTTGTATTCTGCCGTGCCACAAACTGGTACGGGCCCAACCTTGCACAGTGACTCGGGCTAGTTTAGGATGATTGCTGGTATAAATATTGCTTTTTTACTAATATGAAGGCCTGCAAAATGGCAAAACATAGCAGTCCAGTATAAGGTGTGCTGAGCTCATCACCTGTAGGTTTGAGGTTTGTACTGCTGTAGCTTTAATGATTTCTCCGAAATTATATGGGGTTTTGGTTGGTAAGTGGCTAGGGGAGTATAGCAGTAAAATTGGTACAGAAAATGGATCTCGCGCAACTGATACTGATATTCTGAAATGTGCTCCAAAACATAATACCCATGGTATTGCTGTAAAGTAAAGTTAAATAATTATAAGGTATTTAGGTATTACATAAAGTTACAAGGTACTGACACCTCTATCAGAGTTCAGAATGTTGCTTTGAATGCAGTTACTTCAATCTACACAAAAAAAGCAAAACCTTTTCCATCTCTGTCTACATGTTAGCTGAAATGTGCATGGTACATACCTAAAAAGGGGCATGCAACACTTTTTCAGCACGGTAAAAAGACGCTGCCGACTAGTAGTCTAGGCTCCCGAAAATGCGTGAGCCACACACAGCACACCTCAAGGCACAGAATTTACAATTCTCAAAGCAAGCTGAAAATTGTTCCGTCTTCTCTCAACAAAAGATGCCGCAGGCGAAGTGACCGTGCCATCAATCCAAAGTTCGCAATGGTTGGGTGATTTGAGAATAGTGGGTTGCATATGTTTGGGGCCGCCAAGTGTATTCACCAGTGGTCACACTGAAAGTAAGTTGCACGTTCTGAGAAAAGAAGAAGTGCCCGATTTCACAATGCATAGTGATGATAGGATGTCTTGTGCCCTTCTCATCCCCATTTGTCGTTTCAGGCAAGTTAGCATGTAACATGTTCCAGGCAAGTTAGCCACCTACCCTACTCCATAGTACGTGTCACATGTATATGTAGAAAGAACAAATTTAAGAAATGTGTTGAGCTTCGATTTCGTCTTTTATTTTCTAGAAGTGTTGCCCCTGTGTTTAGCAAAGGGTCAAAATCGAGACTCATCTAGCTCGGAATCGGGAATCATGTGCCCTTTTTTGTTCTTCTGTAAATCAGAGGTAGTGAGAAGACTCTGAAAGAGGGCTCCAACAACTCTCCTCGGGCTGTCAAATGTTTCATACTTCTGGGACGTTTGCAGGACGTCGCAAATCCATGCTGTTTCTGAAGCATGCACAAAACTGCTGATGCCACATCAGTTGTAGCAGCAGCCTTGACTGTCGCAGAGTTTCAAGGAATCAATAACTAAACCCAGTGATTTAGCATATGTTGCATATCTCAACCTAAAAAAAAAAAACACTTCTTTTAAAAAAGTGTAGGTACTATTCACTGCAGCTGTAGTCAGCAGGGAACAAGTTTCAGGGCCCCATATTTGTAAAGTAGGTACATCAATTGAAAAGTGCAATCACTAACTGTAAAAGATCACAGTATAGCATAACTTGATTTATGCAATGCATGCGTCTTTGACATGGAGTTTCATCATCTTCTCAACGTAGTACAATCAGCATAAGATGGCTCTCTGCAAGCTAAAGAATATGAATGATTTCGCGAGGAAGAGAGAGACGAGGCATCACATATTGTAAAGGGTCAATAGATGAGCACCGTTCATGTTTAGGCTGTCAGATACACAGCAGTTTTAGAGTTAGCAACAATATTCATCGGAAATATAAGTGTTGGTGTGAGTTCGTTGAGGTTTGCCCTCAATACCACTGCAAGCTAAATTTTGAAAGTGACGAGATCAGCAAAGCAAGGCCAGTAGCCTAAAGAACGTGCTTCAAGCACATTTATTGGCGAATATACTCATATCTATGATACACAATGTCAAGCAAACATGTTACACAAGTCACCAAATTTACAGAATGATACGTCACAGCGCTGCCACTGAGTTCGTCTGGGTTCCCTGGCCATGCCTCAATGCCAGGGGCATAGCATTTCTGTCAAGCGACAAACCAAATAAACGGCGGAGAGCATCTCTAGCTGCCATTTCTGTGGCTACAGTCAATGTTTCGCCTGCGCTGCAGCCAAGAAATTGCTTGTCTGAGTAAAGCCCAACACAGAAAGTGGCTTCAAGAGTGTTCCTTCCAGACTCCCACAGTAATCTCGCTTCAGCGGGAGCTCTACCGGAATTCTGCAGCACGGCGGCGAGTCTGTCGTGGGGGTCATCAATTTCCCACAGCTCGCACACATCCTTGCCTATCAGCTGCGTCAGAATGAAGTCCCGAATGAACAGCTGAGCTCGTTCTATGCCGCAGTCCTTCAGCAAGCCACCAATCAAAGCCATCAGTACGTTTGCCAGTGTGCTGTCCTCCGGCGGAAAATCGGCACACATGATCAAGTCAGAGGTGCCAATGCTGCTTGAAACTTGCGACAGGACGGAATGCGACAACAAATAGTCTTGCAACGCCTTGACGCCATCCTCGGGAAGTTTAGGAAACGTTTCTACGATGGACTTTTGCACGTAACTCTTGCAAAGGCCGTAACCAGCCGCAGATAGATCTGTGTTCGGAGTTAGGCCAATGTCCGCGTTATCCGACTGCATGCCGAGTTCTTCGCGCTGTTGCCTTTCCCGTTCCAGGTAAGATGATTGCACAAAGGCGACTCTAAGCGTGCTATCGGACCAGCTTTCGCCCAGGCGCCTGGCGAATGCATAAATTTCTGCGTCGTAGTTCCATTCCAGACGAACGGAGCGATGCCGCAGGGGCTCGGGGCCTGCTCGCTTCCGACGAGCTTTCATCTCCTTTCGCATTGGTGGGACTGACCGCTTGTAGCCACATAGTTGAATAAATCTAGGTGAAGCTTGCAATCGCAGAAGTGGTAGAGCACTTGGCGCAGTTCTCATCATGAAGCGTGCCAGGCACTCCATTGTAGCAGAGTAAAATTCACGAGCACCTTGCTGAGGTGAACACCGCAGTAAAACACAACCACCATGTGTTTCCAGTTTGGCTCGGCTTGGCTCGTCTTCCAAACAAAGCCTAAAAATTTGCCGTTTTTGAAAGGATGCGCATGCATCAAGAAAAAGCTACGGTGAAAAAAACGTACCTTTAAATTCTCTTATCATTACGCACTTTTCAATAAAGGACAATTTTGTGCATACATAAGCAAAATAAAAACACGGTATCTAAAAAAATGCGTTGCAAAACTATGCCTAATTTTTGAAACTATACGCTCATAACAATAGTGTTCATCACTACGGAGAGATTTATGTCCTAATAATGTGTTCTTGCTGTATGTGCATTGTATGACTAAAGTTCTAGTACACTCTAATATGACCTTAGAGAGCTGCGCGCGTCGGCGTGCCAGTTTGCTTGCATGTGCTTCACCTCAGTCAATATAGAAGACGCCAGCGTTGGCGACGATGCCAAAAAGGCACCAATCAAGGCGCGAGTGAAAGTTCAATCCTTCGTTACAAATACCAGTTTTTAACTTCACTATTTAAAAAGAAAAAAAAAGACAAATTTAGTTTTTGATCGCTAAGTATCACAGCTAGATGACGCTAGCCGCCAGTCAATCTGAAGGGTACAGCCATATAAATTCATCCATCCAAGAAAAAAAAACATTGTCTAGAAATTGGTCGAGGTATAGTGTACTAGAATATTCTAGTACACTATAGTTGAGGTAAAAATGTGAAAGTGAATGCTGGATGACAGAGATTTGCGAGAAGAAGGCCGGGCCTAGAATATTTTGGAGCCGTCTAAAAGCACTAGGTGGGAAGTCTGTCACAATGCAACAACATAAATGGTAGATGACGGAGGAAATAAAGTGGAAGGGTCAGGAAGGTAACAGCAGATTCGTTTAAAAAGGTCGCCCAGGGGACGTCTACGGTGAGGAAAAGTATGAAAAAGAGTGCAACCGAGGTAAAGGCAGTACTTGAGAATTTTAATCGGAAGAAGGCCGAAGGAAAAGTTCCTAAGCGAACTACTCCGGGCTTAGATGGGGTTCCCGTCAGCCTCATTAACGAACTATAGGACACAGCACTAAAGAAGCACTGCTGAAATCTCTAGAAAAGTACTTACAGGAGAAGTAAGTACCAGACATTTGGCGGAAAAGAAGAATGAACTTTATCTATAAAGACAAGAAAGAAAAGTTTAACATTCGCTCGTATAGACCACTAATCATTACATCTGTGTGTTGTTACATCTGTGTGTTGCGACGCAGGCAGCAATGCTAAAAATAAAAACGTAGGCAGAGCAAAATGATATATTGGGAGAACTTCAGAATGGATTACCAGACAGATTGCTGTCAAAATGTTTACGTTTAAGAATGGATTACTCATCGGCAGGCGGTTATACGATAACCTCTGTGTTCTTACTCAATGCACAGAAATATCTAAAATAAAAAACCCTTATACGTAGCTTATCTGGACATCATATAGGGCGTGAAAACGTTAATCAGTAACCTTTGTGGGATATATAATAAAGGAAGTGGTCTCAAGTGAGCAATATAGCGAGAAAATACCGTTTGCATAAAATGGGAAGGAATAAGTAGCAATGACAGCGTTGAAATTAGCAAGAGGCTGAGACAGGAATGTTCTTTGTCCCCGTTGTTATTCCTGCTGTACACTGTGAGGATAGAAAAAAGCGCTACAAGGTAGCAACATGGGGTTTCATCTGTCACACAAATAGGCTGGCGCGATGGTAGAGCGGAAGCGTCCATGTCATTTTTATGCAGACGATATCGTCCTATTTGCGGACAGTCAAGATCATATACAGCGGCTACTAGATATATGCGGAAGGAAAAGTGAGGCCCTAGGACTAGGATTTAGTGCAACAAAATGTTAACTGATGGTATTCAATGATCGTGAAGACCAGGTGTTTTCAATACAGGGCCAAGAAATACCGAGGGTATAAGCGAGTTCAAGTACCTCGGAGTATGGGTAAATGAGGGAGATAGATATATGAAGGTAATGAAAAAAAAAAAACATCAGCAGCAAAGGGAAAGAGGAATGCTGCAAGAATGAAGCACGGCGCCTTACGGGGATACAATAGGTACGAAGTGCTTCGAGGTCTGTGGAAAGGCACAATGGTTCGGGGGTTATATTTGGGAACTCAGTGGTGTGCATGAAGTTAGAGGTGCAATCAGGAATGGATATCAAAGGACTGTGGGACGCGTCGCGTCGGGCGCAGGCGGGAAGACGACGAATGAGGCTGTGAAATGAGGAAAATGAAGGATAGTAGATGGAGAGGGAAGGTGTTCAAGTATTCGTATAGAAAGAGCGTCGACACAAAGTGGAGAAAAATAACTAAGAGGCTCAATCGCCACTAAATACACGGCTGGCAGTGTGGAGGATATGGCAACAAGAAGCATTAAGTGAAAAGTCAGAGAGGATTTATTGGATGACAGCGATGGAAAAGAAGCCGACTCTCAGTAACTACTTAAAGGGCAAATGCAAAATAAGGAGAGTAGGTTTTATGAATTCAAGGGAGAGTGCTTTACTGTTCGAAGCAATGTCGGGTTGTCTTAGAACGCGTAGTCATAAGGTGAGATTCAATATTATTTTTTTATTTAGAGTAACAATTGAACAACAAGGTGATAATACATTTTAAGGAAGTCATGGAAGAAGAGTATTTACATAAATGGTCAAGGGCGTTGAGGAAATGCTTCGGTTAGTTTATTCCAATCATCTATTGTTTGTGGGAAGAAGGAGTACCGAAAAGTATCAGTCCTTGCGAAGATTGGCGTTAGGGAATGAAGACAGTGGTGTCGAGTGGGTCTGGTTAACAAGGGGGATACGTATGCTGCGTTGTCTAAGGGTAGCCTGTGGTCCACTATGTCTGAAAGAAACTGTAGCCAACTTTTTTTTCTTCGACTTTGTAATAGCTCTATACCATTTGCCATTAGTAATGCTGTGGGGGAGTCGGTTGACATAAATTTACTATATATGAATCGTACTGCTTTTCTTTGAATTCTTTCTAGGTTTTGAACGTTAATTTTTGTGTGGGGATCCCAAACTATGGAGGCGTACTCAAGTTTAGGCCTAATTAGGGAAAAGTAGGATAGGAGTTTAACACTAGGCGGAGCAGTCTTGAGCTGGTGGCGGAGAAGGCATAATTTACGTAAAGCGGCAGAGCAGATGTTATTTATGTGCAAATTCCAGGATAAGGTACTTGTTAACGTTAAGCCTAAGTATTTATAGGAGGCTATTTTAAGTAAAGGTGCTTCAGCTAAATTGTATGTGTAGTCTAATGAGACTTTTTTGTGCGTTATGGGGAGATACACACATTTATTTGCATTAAGAAGCATTCCCCATTGTTCACACCATTTTGATACATTGCCTAAGTTAGTATTAAGATCACATTGGTCACTAATGCAGGTTACATCTCTAAAAAAAAAAACACAATCGTCAGCAAATAAACGAATTTGTACCGGTGTGCTAATTACATTGACAATGTCATTAATGTAGACCAGAAACAGAAGGGGGCCTAGTACGCTCCCCTGCGGAACGCCACAAGTCACAGGAAGGCAGCCCGATTGTTTTTTTCCTACCTGAACATATTGGTTGCGATTGAATAGATAAGCTGAGATCCAGGAGATAAATAATTCTGGTATACCAACTAACCAAAGCTTTATAATTAGTTTATCGTGTGAAACTGTGTCGAATGCTTTACTGTAGTCTAAGAATATTACATCGATTTGGCCGTTAGCATCAAGACAAGCTGCAAAGGTATGAACGATAGTAACCAATTGTGTTGTAGTAGAAAATTCTTTTCGAAACCCATGTTGATGATTTGTTAAAACTGAGCGTTCTTCTAAGAATTCATTTAATTTATGAGCTATTATGTGTTCAATAAGCTTACAGCATGATGATGTTAAGGAGATCAGTCGATAATTTTGTAGTACTAAAAGGTCACCTTTCTTGAATATAGGAACTATTCGTGCCGACTTCCAGTCATCTGGCAATTCCGCTGACAACAGAGAGACTCGAAAAATGACGAGTAAGTATTTTGCAACAGACTCTGCAAAGCGACGCAGAAATATGTTGGGGATATTGTCGGGACCGCAAGAAGTCTTAGTGTTTGAGTTCAACAACATACCAACGACACCAGAATAAGAAATAAAGTTTACATTTGCATCATTGTTCGCATTTATGACAGATGGGGAAGCACTAGGAGTAGAAAATGCACTATGAAAATACTCATTGAGGTGTTGAGCAATGGCAGCCTGATCAGACACCATTGAACCATTGACAAAAACCTGTGATATGGGTTTCTTTTTTTCGCTAATATAATTCCAGAACTTCTTTGGATCATTCTTTATGAAGTTTGCGATCGAGTGACGTATTGAAGTAGTATTCCTTCGAGGGGTGTACGGCATGTGCAAGCTTATCTAGAGCGTCAGCTCTAACTTTGGGGTCAGCATGCTTTTTCTTTAATCTTTTAACTTTACGCTTGAGATGAATGATGCTTCTCGTCATACAGGGCGTATGTTTATGCACCTTTTTACGTCTAGACGGTATAAATTTTTCGATACAGTAGAAGCATATGCGTTTAAATTGGTCCCACAATCTACAAACATCGGTAGCTACAAAATCTATCAGACAGGTTTCTAGGTGCTCGATAATGCAAGCATCATTGGCATGCGTATAGTCTTTCACACAATGAAAGGACAAGTTGGCAGTTTCCGAAAGCGGTACCAGAGGGATAGAAACTGACACAAGGTAGTGATCAGACAGCCCTTGCCTAATTACTACGGTATGTGTATTACGGTATGTGTAATAAAGAAGAAGAACAATGTACATGCCGTGGGCGAGCTAAAGAAGCGATGGGTTATGTTTCCAAAACTTTATTCTATTTCATCGAACCACTCAATTCTTGGCCAATCCCCCCTGCAGTGGGTGTGCGCTACAGTAAGACGAACAAGAACATGTTTGTTCTGCTTATAGGAAAACTTTTGTTCTCAGCCATGTCATCATCATCATCATCATCATCATCATCATCATCAT